AGGAACATTTAAATATATTTAATGTTTATAATGAAACCGTTAAAGTAGCTTTTTCTTTTTGTTTTACTGTAAAACTACAACTATAAATGAAGTAAACAAACCCTGACACAATCAAAATTAAACACACTTTTTGGACTTACCTCATTACATTTGAATGACCAAAATGATTTCAAAACTTATTTTCCACCCAAATCGTGGTATCACAACAATTTATTATTCGAAAATATTTGTTATTTTTTCATTTCGATATTTTTTCACAATTATACGACCTAAATGTCAATGTGACAGAGCCCACAAAGTTGTGGACGCTAGTTGGCGCTGTAATCGTGCACAGAGCCAATAGCTACGTTATCTAGCTCATTCAGCTTCGCGAACCCGGTGTATTCTCCGACGGGCGCGGCGGGCGCGCAGTCGCCGGCTCCAAGCTCGCCGCCCGCGCTGCGCACGCCGCGGCCCTCCTACAAGGTCGAGGACGTCGTGTTCGAGCCGCCCGAAAGACCCACCTCCTGGAGGGCCTTCAAGCGTAAGATACCCACACCAACATAGCTTTTATTTCACCCTTTTTTGCGCAATTAGTCCACCTTGTGTAGATACGATTGTCTTCATGAATACATAAATAGGTAGCTTCGATCCGCGCAGACTCTTGCAGAAGCGAGATGCCAGAGTAACAGACTCGCAAACGTAAGTGATGAGGATTTTAGAGACCCACAGCTGCTGGCTGATTCTGATGATGCTACGAAATTCTAAATTTGAATTCGTTCTACTGGTATCACCGCACGACCTCGCCTAGTATAACAACGGTGTCCATGGTATCCAGCGCCTTCGGCTTCTTCCCAACGCGGCTAATTCTAATAAGATGCTCCGAAATTCGAATTCGATATGCTGGATCACACCCATCTCGCCTAGTATAGAACGAAATCCAGCGCATTCAGCTTCGCTAACCCGGTGTATTCGCCAACGGGCGCGGCGGGCGCGCAGTCGCCGGCTCCAAGCTCGCCGCCCGCGCTGCGCACGCCGCGGCCCTCCTACAAGGTCGAGGACTTCGTGTTCGAGCCACCCGAAAGACCCACCTCCTGGAGGGCTTTTAAACGTGAGAATGTAGCCTTTATTTCTGCCTTTTTTCTTAGATTTAGGTACCCAAAGCGGCTGATTCTAATGTGATGCTCCAAGATTCAAAATTCTAATTCGATATGCTGGATCACACCCATCTCGCCTATAGCTACGTTATCCAGCTCATTCAGCTTCGCGAACCCGGTGTATTCGCCGCCCGCGCTGCACATTCCGCGTCCATCCTACAAGGTGGAGGACGTCGTGTTCGAGCCCCCCGAGAGACCCACCTCCTGGAGGGCTTTCAAGCGTAAGATATTCATGCCCGTTTTCATCATTAATCCCTAATTTTTAAGTTACCCGTATGGTAACACATAACAGGAATTTTGTTTTTATAGGGGTCACTTAAAAATTAGGTATTGATGGTGAAAACGAGCATCAGCCTCTTAGATCTAACGCGGATTCTAAGGTGATGCTCCAAAATTCCAAATTCGAATTCGATTTATGCTGGATCTCGCCTAGTATAGCAATGGAATTCAGCTCATTCAGCTTCGCCAACCCTGTGCATTTTCCGACGGGCGCGGCGGAGAAGTTAGGGGTTATAAATCTTTGGACATTTCACACACAATTTTTTCACACTGGTTCAAATATCTACCCTACACTCGCAGGCGGCGTGCTGGCCAGATGGGCGGTGGCGCGGGCCATCTACCCTTACATGGTGTCCATCGGGCTGGTGTACTTCACTCGTTTACCCTGTACATATACTATCAGTCTCACCCTGACACTGGCTACACGTGTGTCACTGATGTCATTTGTGTCAGTTGTCAGTATCATTTCACTGCTTTGTCCAATAAATAATCACTGAACTAGGGGCGTAGAGTGAGTTTAAGTCAAATTCATTCGATGTCGACTGCGTAAATAAGTGACATTAAATGTATGACGGATTGTACAGCACCCCTAGCGGAAACTTTCAAGAACTAAAATCTTCATATACAGGGTGTTTGGCGGGAGGTTAGACAAACTTTGTGGGTGTATAAGTAAGGTTATTTTAAGTATACATGTTCGCCCATTTGACCCTAAGTGAGCTACTTTTTTTTATTTATTTTTTTCCGACGTTTGATGTGAACTCACACTAAGCTTTCTAGTCACCACGTGTCTCATCCGCAGGCGGCGTGCTAGCCAGATGGGCGGTGGCGCGCGCCATCTACCCTTACATGGTGTCCATCGGGCTGGTGTACTTCACTCGTTTACCCTGTACATATACTATCAGTCTCACCCTGACACTGGCTACACGTGTGTCACTGATGTCATTTGTGTCAGTTGTCAGGATCATTTCACTGCTTTGTACAATAAACAATCACTGAACTAGGAGCGTAGAGTGAGTTTAAGTCAAATTCATTCGATGTCGACATTAAATGTATGACGGATTGTACAGCACCCCTAGCGGAAACTTTCAAGAACTAAAATCTTCATATACAGGGTGTTTGGCGGGAGGTTAGACAAACTTTGTGGGTGTATAAGTAAGGTTATTTTAAGTATACATGTTCGCCCATTTGACCCTAAGTGAGCTACTTTTTTTTAATTGATATTTTTGTTTTGTTTTTTTTTCCGACGTTTGATGTTAACTCACACTAAGCTTTCTAGTCACCACGTGTCTCACCCGCAGGCGGCGTGCTGGCCCGGTGGGCGGTGGCGCGCGCCATCTACCCTTACATGGTGTCTATTGGGCTGGTGTACTTCACGACGCTGAGTCTGTACCCCGGCATCGCGTCTGAAGTGCCGTCCTGCAGGCTCGGATCCTGGATGCCGATTATACTCATGTCGGCGTTCAATCTGTTCGACTTCATTGGGAAGGTGAGTTGAATGATGATTTTAATAATTCGTAATAGGTAATCAATGTAACTACCTACTAACAATATAGAGAATTATCAAGTGTATGTAAGAATCTCTATATTCAACTCGGAGCATTCCAGCAACTTTGCTATGCTTAAAAGAACTTACTAAGGACCAGTTTTTTTTTGTAATGACAGCTTAGCTTAGCTTCAATTAGGCCATATTGCTCAACTTGTTCTCTTATTGTGGCTTTAGACCCGCATCTAAATAGTGAACAGAGTGGATATAATGCTGTAAATCCTGGCTACATAGGAGTTGCAGTGGTGGGAATGAGAGGTGGGAATAGTCAGGAACATAACACGCAATCCCATAAAATGCAAAGATAAAACAAACTAGAATAAACAAATGACATTCGTTCTTCATAAACATTGTATCGTAGCAGTCAATGAGGGCTATCGTTTTTATACTTAACAATTGGCACCCCCGGCGATTGACAGGACCTTACTCTACAGTGGCGCCATCTTGATGAGTGCAAATGCGATAGTCCTCGTACCACTTTAGCGCTCACCAGTTGGTGCCACTGTCTTCGCTACTAGCAAGTGACAGGACCTTACTCTACAGTGGCGCTAACTGGTGAGCGCTAAAACGATAGCCCTCATTGTTTTGTTTCTCGGTTCAGATAGCAGCAGCGTGGCCGTACGAATGGAGCCGCAGCCAGCTGCTGATGGCCAGCGGCGTGCGGCTGCTGTTAGTACCCTTGTTACTGCTGTGCGCAGCCCCAAGGCACTCCCCGCATATCGTTGGAGATGTAAGTAGCCACACTTAAGTTATCCTACAATTATTATACACGCAAAAGTTTGTGAGGATGTAATGATAGCAGCGGCGTGGCCGTACGAGTGGAGCCGCAGCCAGCTGCTGATGGCCAGCGGCGTGCGGCTGCTGTTGGTACCTTTGTTACTGCTGTGCGCGGCTCCGAGGCACTCCCCGTATATCTTTGGAGACGTAAGTAGTAAATTTTAGTAATCCTACTAATATTATACACGCAAAAGTTTGTGAGA